TATTTATTGGCTACCATTGAAATACTAATGATTTCTAATTTAGAGTAGAAGTTATCCAGAAACATAACTGCCCATTTTATCTCTTTTTTTAAATTAAAAGTTTTCATCCTGACTTTCCCCACGTCTCCCTTTTCCCTCAAATTTTCTTTCAGATCCCCATGGCCCTTCTTTCACCATGGGCAAGGCTGTGTGGCTACTTTGGGGTCTGGTCTTCAACAACTCTGTCCCTGTGCAAAACCCAAAAGGAACCACGAGCAAGTTCATCGTGTCGGTGTGGGCCTTCTTCGCTGTCATCTTCCTGGCCTCCTACACTGCCAACCTGGCTGCCTTCATGATTCAGGAGGAGTTTGTCGACCAGGTTACTGGRCTTTCAGACAACAAGGTAAATCCAAGTAAACAGAAGTAGTGCATTAATTAGCTTGATGTTGAGGTCCTATTTTCACACTATTCAGAAAGAATATAGACGTAAAATAACGTTATCACTATATTTTGTTTCCTACTCTTTTTTTCCCCATTAAAATTAGTCTCAACATAAAAAAAATCAACCAACACGTTCAGAGCTGACTGATTAACTGGTAATCATCCCTGGCTACWGCACTGTATGTTTTAATCACACCAGCTATAAATAATAGTTTGTAAAAAAAAAAGGGTGAAAAAAGGGTCAAAATCTGCATATTTTCATTTACAAAATGTAATCCAATGGATTGAATCTTAAATTTGGTGGCAGCTGCCAAGGGGTGAAAAAGGTGAGCCAAGGCAGACTTTATWGTGGGGAGGGAAAGTATTTTGAAATTCATGCACACCAAACTTTTTAAAAATTGGCCACGAAAAATGCAGCTGCATGGTTTGCTGGTTAGATAGTCATAAAATCTCAGAATTCAGTGAGACCGAAACTGCAATTTTTAATTTTTTTTTTCAGTTAGGAGCCACTAACTAGTCCTCACCAGTCACAGCCCAGTAACTGCTATGCTGCTTGGTTTTAGAGGTATAATGTTAAAAGTTCAGTTAACCAAGAAATTGCAAGCCTTGTAAGTTCAGTTAAAGGCGACTGCGCTTGTGTTGGACATTTGAAAATGTTTCACTGTAAGAGGCTTTCTTAATTCAAACTAATATGAAGAGTTTAAAAAGTCTGAAATTTTTCACTTTTCAGTTTGATTTGAAGACATTCTTGGATGCGAAGTGAAACATCTGAAAATCTAAATGTCCAAATGCCTTCAGTTGATTATTTTTCTGCCACATTTGCAATATTCATRTAGAAGCCAACAAAGATATTGACCAAAAAAAGGATTTGTACAAATTGGGCAATGSTTTAAACCTAAACTCCAAATGTGAGGATCCGTAGGTACTTGACAAATTAAGTTTTGGCAGCAACACAAATCCTAGCCTATTATGTGTTGTATTGTACTTTAATGTGCCTGTGGCTGCACAATGTACAATTTACCATCATTGCGSTAACAGCCTGTGTAAAAGGCATGTCACAAAAAAACGTGTAGTAAACTGCACAAAATGGCTGCATCAGCATCAGAAAATGTTTTATAGGAGCAATGTTTCAAAGCCATTAAGAAACAATAACTACGTTTACATGGATATAAGTAATCGGATTAAATGGCCGTTCAGAATAAAAACGCGTCATGTAAACAGCCCGTTCGGATTATTCTGATCAGATTGAGCTCGATCCGAATTATTTTTTAATCCGAATGCAAGTGGTGGGTTATGCCGATTGATAACCGGAATGACGTTCATGTAAACACTTAATCGGATCATTTTATTCTGATTGTAGAAAACTGACCTGTGTGCGCATGTCTGCTGACTTTCATCCACCCGGTTCTGCTTTTTAGAGGAGGTGGGACAGCAGCGCTCCAGCTGCGCTGCACCGCGCAGAACTTTTCCTCCACGCTCTCTTAACAGATGAAAAAGGAGACAAACAGCAGACGTTGCTTCACAAAAGAAAAAGAAAAAAAACACATATTGCTTCATCTGCAGCTCATCCGAGGAGAAACAACGTCTCTACTGTTATTAAAAGCTGACATGGGTCCGTTCTGAGGCACAGAAG